GGTCGAACAACATGGTCGTGAATGCCATGGAATGATAAGTGTAAAGGATGTTGAAATGGCAAATGCTATTACACAGGTCTTTACCAGAATCCACATCAAAATAGAGGAGGAGGGCAGATTGAATATCAGGATGGTTTGGCACAGCACTGTCGGACAAAGCATAGCTTCTTAAACTGTAGGTCATGAACAGTTTGGCAACAGTAAAAGGGGCCTGGGTGCACAGTGACCAAAACTCATGTGTAATAAATAATAAATTAGATGTTTCTGGAAGCACTTGCCCGTGTTGCAAAAATTCTCAGGCAAAAACATGTGATCAGAGGGAAAAGGTTAATAAGCCCTGCAAGTTGCCAGGTTCTAAGGCGATGTTTTCATTTATTCCTACAAGAATATTTATTGAGGTACCTTCTAAGGAGACTAAGTGGTGAGCTCATTTTATTTTTGTATCCATAGATTGTAAGATATCCCTGTATGACCAAACCTAACCACTGGCAGTGAGGAGATCGGGTTCACAGCAACTCTCTATAGGGTTTCTTCATAGCCAAAAATCTAAAACTTTCTTCTACTAGAGCAGCTGGTGGGTTCGAACTTCCTACCGTGTGGTTGGCAGTGCAACACTTCCCTGGCAGTGCTATTTAAGGCTCCTTTGTGCCGTATTCACGAACTACTCCCTGTCATCATGTTGCTGCTACTCATAGCAACCCCCCATGAGAGGGTGAAACTGTCCCTGTGAGTTTCTGAGAAGTAACTCCTTAAGAAAATAGAAACCCTTGTTTTCTCTTGCAGACTGGCTAGTGGTTTCGAACTGCTTATCTTGGAGGTTAGCAGCCCAGTGTGTGACTACCAGTGCTACATCAGGTGCTCAATAAATACTGCTGGATAGGCTTCCAGCATTTTCTAAAATGTATGATGAAAACCTATAATTCTATATTATAGTATTTTCATTACTAATCATCATAATTACTATGCATCATGTTCTCTGCTATCCAAAATTTTATCTCTATTTGGAAATAATAGAGATATAAATAACTAGAGAACAATTCAAGGTAAATGTGAGCTATAATAAACCATGTAATTATAAAGAAAAGATAATCGGTCTTCCAATGAAATTTCTCACCATAGACTTTCTTCTAAAAAAGGCAAATTTCAAAATGAATTCTTAGTTGAAGATTTCTGAAAATGACATCAATGAAAACATATATCCTATAACTATTCAATAAAATAGTTGTTGTATAATGAGTTTTATATTGAAAGCAAAGCATTAGATGACTATATAGAAACCTAAATGATTGAAAAGTTAAATGTCTACAGCTAACCCAAATTACAATACATTCAGTATATAATTCATAAGACCACTTATATTGTGCAATAGTATTCTCATAATTATACTGTTTGGTTGATCCTCATTACAAGCCTGTTTATTCCCCTTTAAAACCTTGCAGCCTCAAAAGTGACATCATATGGCTTGAAGTTAGCAGTGAGAACATGAATATTAATACAACCAAAAAATCATCTATGAGAACTAAGCCACGTGCACTAAGGCCATGTTATTCCAAGTTGCTGTATTTTTAAGCATATAGTTCATCAAAATTTAGATATGATTATATTTTCAAGTAAAATTGAATATGATCATTCAGGAAAAAAATGGGTATAAATGATGTCAAATATTCGAAATTTCATCAAAATTATATGCCAATCAGATTTTTTAAAGTTACATTATACAGCAAGACTGAAGCACCTTTTAATGATTGCAGTTTTACACTTTATTGGTTCCCTTTTTAATTAAGAATGGAAATATGATTTTTAAATAGGATTGTTATATAACTCTTGACCTTTAGAATTACATAAGTTTGATTTTTAATCCAATGTACAACCAAAATTGATAACTTTGTAGATTAGATATATATTGTCAATAGCATTAATTTTTAATTGTTATATTCATAATATAAAAATCAAACAATATTTGTCCACTCTTTTATAAAGATTTTTCCTTTAAAATTTCTAATTCTGAAAGAATTATCAGAATTGATCTTAGAAAACCAAGATTTTCTCGCAACTACTTAAATGATTTGGTAAAACAGCCTTTGAGTCTTCTCTAATCTCTGTGTTAATATGAAGAATACTTGTGCTTCTGCCAATCATGGGCTTTGGCATTATTCCCTATATGCGTCACAGGTATTCTTATTTTCTCTTGCTTTCTCTTTATCGCCTTTTCTAAGTCCAAACTTGTTTTTTTCTTCCTCTATTATGTACTCAATGTTAGAGGAATGTATTAGAGGTAAACTTCAGCAGTAAAATGAAAACCAGAGATCTGCTGATAGTTTTTATTATGCATTGAGAACTTGAGAAAAAGCAGCTTGCTTTCAAACAAACAACTTGCTGGCTTCCCTGATGGCTCAGGAGTCCTTGTAGGGAATGACGAAAGAAGACTGGGTTATAAACTTTCATTTGGCCATGATTGGTGTAAGACTGAGTCACAGTAATGGAAACAGGCATGGGTAGGGTTGAACAACAACGATGGTGGTGGGAAGTCCTCCTGTTGATGCGCCACTCAAGGAAAGGCTCTGGGAGCAGAAAGCTTGAAAATATCAAGTCCAAGAGGGAGAGTGTGTAGAGACAAGTACTGAATCCAAGTGCACGGTCAGAAAGAAGGGTGTTCTCACAAAACAGCTCCCAGGACAGGACAGTGGAAGGCATTGGATTGGCATGGACAATTAGAAAGTCAATCCTATTTTCTGTTAGGAATGTAAGCCATACGTTCCGAATTGAAAAGAAATCCTGTTCCTATACACCAAAATGTTGAATATTGAAAGTACCATGGACTGCCAAAAAACCACAAACTAATCTGTCTTAGAAGAAGTACAGCCAGAATGCTCCTCAAAGACACGATGGCTCCACAAAGACTTGGTCTCACGTCCTTAGGACATGTTATCAAGACCAGCTGCCAAAAAAACCCACAAACTAATCTGTCTTAGAAGAAGTACAGCCAGAATGCTCCTCAAAGACACAATGGCTCCACAAAGACTTGGTCTCACGTCCTTAGGACATGTTATCAAGACCAACGCCTGGAAAAGGACATCGTGCTCGGGAAAGTGGACGGGGTAGAGTGAGGTAGACCTTTAATGAATGGATTGACACAGTGACTGCCACAATGGGCTCAAATGTTCACAACAATTGTGAGGATGGCGGAGGGGCAGGCAGTGTTAAGTTCTGTTGCACATGGGGTCATTATGAGTTGGAACCAAGTCAACAGCAACCCACAAGATAGATTCAACAACCCAGTTGGCCATAGAACAAACAGTGTTTTGTGGTATTCAATAACCCAGCCCCTCATGGTTTGACAGTGATCGTTACAGAACCTGTTCTTCAGGTGAAAGTATAATTGGTTATGGATAGATAAGTAATTTCTATCAAAAGGAAAGAACTTCTGTTTTATTTATTTATTTTCTGGAGTAGCTAAGTTCATAAATAAGAACTGAGCAAATATATTTAGAAAGCTGAGCTTTCTCTAAACAGCAAGAATCTTTATCGCACTGGTTCAGTTTATCTCGACTGATCATTTATTTATGATGCCATAAAAGTCCAGGTGCTTTCCGTGTTCATGGTGGATATTTGCTGAAAGGCGGCTGGAATTATGTTCCCAGGGTTTCCATTTTGACCACTGCATTTTAAACTGAAAATTTATGATGGTTCGATAATGGTAGTGCTGAAGCTTTTTGCATTTCCCTCTCAAGATTAGCAATGAATTCAGCCCTTGTGGTTAGTGAACACCCTATTCAGCTTATTGGAAATTCCAGAAGTCTGTGGCAAAACTGAGATTACAAGATAAATGAAAAGAAAAAAATACAGAAAATACTAAAAACTCAAACTATGGAATGGTATGGTGTCTGGATTAGCTCCTAATAAAATGGTTTAGGGAAAGAAAACATGAATCAGAACTAAAACCTTATAAAAATCTATGTTAATGTATTTTTGTATTTGATAGTTTACCTAAACATGTTAAGGCTAGTCCATAAATGTCAGTTTCTATAAAATAAGAACATGATGAGCTATCTGTATGTATGCACTTTGAGAAATGGGCACTGGTAAAGGGGAAGTTTATAGTGATACACAAAAGCAAACCAAGGTAAATTTAAATGTCTTCAAGAGGCAGGGAAGAAAAACTAAACCACAGGCGTAAAAACAAGGATCAAGTGATTTATATATTTCTGGATCCTTCCAGAAGACAGGAGATTATTAAACCTTCTGTTATTAAACAAGCCCTTTGGATTTCTTGAATTTCTGTCACAGTATCAGTTTGTTATTTTTATGAGTCAATAAATTATTTACATTTATTTAAAATGAATTTAGGATATTAAGTGTTGCAACTATTCTTATTAGTATTTATTTGCACGTAGAATTAGAAGGATCCTATAAATTCAGTTATGACAACTTTAAAACAAAAAGATAACTTTTATTTATGAACTATTGATGACCCTCTACTATGTACTGTGTAAAAGCAGCACTAGAGAAAAAACGAATAGTTCAGGACATGAATGGCCAGTTACCAATGAGTTTTCTGTATACTCTACGTATCCCAATGAATAAATGTGATCCAAGTTATTTTCCTACATATCAGCAATTATTTATACATTTCCCACTTTGTGTTACATTAGCCATTTTCTTTCCTGGCCAGAAAAGAAACAGAGAAATTCACTCCAGCAAATTTGATGACGCCAGTATTACAACGTCTGCTTCCAACCAAAGAGAATAGGATCCACTGGCCATCGCTCATTTTATTAACTTGGCAAGTTGGCTTAAAGACACTAACTCTACACACAAAAACACAGTCTCCATCTCTCTCGCTCTCTCTCTCCCCACAGAGAATTCAGAGGAATTTGCATTTGATTTTGTTCTTTCCTGGTTGCCAAAGGAAAGAAACTTCCAAGAGAAAGGTTTATAAAATATTTTTTAAAAGCTAATATTTAAAAAAACCCACGGAATCTTATTTTAAAAGTACTTACTATATGCAGTTCTAAGTAGTCACCCAGGCCTGAAGAACTGTCCACTCGTACCAAGATAGCTTCTTTCTGCACAGTGCTAAACCCTATGGCCAGTCTGTCTGCTCGTGTACTTGGTCGGTCATTAGGAGGCCACTTATACGTAATTTGTCCACCACCTTTGCTAAAGATGTATGTTGTACCAGCTGAAAAAGAAACACAAAAACCAATTAGTCTACATATATAAAGTCCACACAAACTATGGCCACACAAATAATAGGTTTCAATCCAACAAACTCACAAAAGGAGACAGCATTAGTTTAAAAGGAACAGAGAGCCAGCTCAATTTTTAAGACACCCATTAAATCTGCCAGCAGGTGTTTTCAGAACAAATGGGAGATTATTACTTTTTCCATTGACTTGGACAAGCATGAAATGTAATGGGGCTTTATTTCCTCTTGCCACTTTTACAGAAATACTTCAGTCAAAAACATTGGCTTTGGAAACACCCAAAAGCAGCAGAAACATAAATCAACTAGTTTTTGAAACAATTACTGCATGTAGATGTGACAGGGTCTACAGCACCGTGGAGCAACTCACAACAAACATGCTATGAATCAACCATTATGGGGGGAAAGGGTCTGTTCACACGTGACAGATGATTACTAATGAACGAACACCCATAACCCTTACTAGTCATGTCCAGAAAATAGTTCCCATCCAGACAAGTCAGGTCTTACTTAACAAGCTACATCTAGTAGCTGTCAAACTATCCACTACTATAAAAATGCCCTTCCTCCTCCTTAAAACAAATACTAGTTTTACAGCACTAAGAATCATGGCATGCACTCATTTAGTAAATGGAAAATTTTACTTTATGACAGAAATATTAGTAAGTTCTCCACCTTAATTTTTTAATCGTTTTATTAGGGGCTCATATGACTCTTATCACAATCCATACACACATCAATTGTGTAAAGCACATTTGTACATTCATTGCTCTCATCATTCTCAAACATTTGCTCTCCACTTAAGACCCCGGCATCAGGTCCTCACTTTTCCCCTCCCTCCTCTCTCCCCCTCCCTCATGAGCCCTTGATAATTTATAAATTATTATTTTGTCATATCTTGCCCTGTCCGACGTCTCCCTTCACCCACTTTTCTGCTGTCCGTCCCCCAGGGAGGAGGTCACATATAGATCCTTGTAATCCGTTCCCTCTTTCCAACCCACTCTCCCTCTACCCTCCCAGTATCGCCACTCACACCATTGGTCCACCTTAGTTTTTTACAAAATAAGAAAATGTATTAAAATAAATTTGGAGTACCGTCTCAGTGCACTGGCAGCCTCTGTCTCATAGACCACAGTCAATGGAGTCTTTGAGTCAGAATAATGCGAGGGGCATGAAAAGGTCCATCGAAAAGAGTTCTTCATCTCTGATAAAGGGGACCCTAAATATTCATTTCTGTTTGCCCATGACTTACAAAATGGGCTTTATAGAGGGTGCGTGATGTTTGATAACAAATGACACCAGCAAATCTTGTGTGCCTAGTGTGTTCCAAACACGGTAATGTTAACAGAAAGAATATTGAATGTTGATCTACAACCACTTTGTACTGATGGGAAGAGTCAACCAAGTGTTAAATTTTTGTGCAAAAACTGTGTGAATCCCAATGTCTTCTCAAGATACCCACACATAAAATCCGTAGGAGTAACAAGTTTAATAATTACTGCAGGTGGATTCTCTGTCACATCTGTGTACATTAACAGCTGATCACGTTAATATTGCTCCCTTTTTCAATGTGGAGGCCAGCCCCTTTTTGTCATTGTTTGTTTGTTTCGGTTTTGGGGTTTTGGGGGGCTTTCAATTGGAGACATTTCCAGAGACCCTGAAAAATGCTAACTACCCCTATCATGTCGTTACTGTGTCTGACGGTGACACAAGTCTTGCTGTGTTGGTCTAGCCAAGACACGTGTCAGGAAAGTAGTAAAAGTCAAAGCGATAAAGAATAATCTTATTGAAAAGTCCAATGACATCAAAGCTGAGTTCTCCTCTATGAATACTTTGAGACACAATGCAGGAAAGCAATCAGCCCTCTCATGGGAAAAGAGGCAAGTCAGATTTCACAGGCACCAGGCAGCTCACATTCACACTCCTTCCCCATCAGAATAGCCAAATTTGTACAGCAGGAGGGTTCACAAGGTTCACAGAACATGTCCGTTATCTTTTACCGCCTTTCTTCTGTGAGCTTTGGATGCTCCCAACTTTTGAAGGGCCAGAGTTTCCACAACTGTTTATAACATCAGAAGTGTGTTCACCGGAATATCAATAAGTACTATTTGATAAAAATTTTATGATTTTGAATATTACCACATGATTAAATATTAACCATTTAAGAAGAGCCTATAGCCATGAAAGTAACACAAAATCATATAAAAGTGAACTTTCTTTATGAGGATGTACATAATGAGTGCTAGTACTATATAGCTTCATTTTCTCCCCTCTAATGAACTGTGCTCTCTAGTGCCTATTCATGTGAAGTAAGGGGGTGGGGGGAAGATTCTGTTAATAATGTAAAATCTATTTAACAATTGAAATGAATCCAGAATCAACAGAGGAGCGTGGTATAGCAAAGTACTAATAGTCTACAACACATAATTTTTTTTACATTTACTCTCACAATAATTCTTTCATCCTTCTGCACTTCTTGATAGAAGTTAGGGTAGGCATTGCTCCTCCTCTGTTACAGTCGAGGCTACTGAGCTGTAACCAACAGTTTATTATCTCACTATACACTTAAAAATTAAGTAGAAGACATGGTATTAAACCTAGTATCCACCAGAACTAAACCTTGAGTGGAAATCAAGTATTTTTTAAAAATAAAGATATATTTCTACTATCATAACAAACTGTCAAGAAAAAGTTAATTGGATGTCACTCTGAATTTATCAAAGCCAACAGTTATCAGATTCTAATGTCTCATATCCATAAAGTGGCATTTGTACCTCATGGTCATATATTCTCCTTTCCCCGCCCATGATTTCAAGAAAATTAAAAATATGATGTGGACGTGAAATGACAGAACATTTAATATATGTAGATTGACATTTGTTTTAGGGCACACTTCCTCAGCATAGAGAACTCAAGTTTCCAGTTGCTCATTTGGGGACAATAATGCAAACGTTTCTATTTTCAGAGAGATAAAACAAATATCACTATTTAAAATGTAACCTCGTCTCGCATTTCCACCTTCCCCTCACATTGTCAAGACTTGCGATGCCTATGCAGGTGTCCGATCTATCTCGCTAATGGAGATTTTTCAGATCTTCACGTTTCAACAAAACAAAACAAATTGCACAACAGTGTCTCGTGCACAACAGTGTCTCGTGCATCTGAAGAGAAATCTCTCCTTTATTCTCCTCTACGCCAGGGACACAGTGGGTGGTGCTTCCACATCAGCACAACTGCATCCTCAGTAAGACTAGAAAGTTCACTCCCACAGTTCTCCTCTCCCACCTCTGTCACGTCTCATGGCCTTCTTTGATCAAAATCAGTTCAGCCAAACTCAACGGAATCTACTTTGTTCTTAAAGCCCTCCCTCTTTCTAGCTAGGAAATTTCCAAAGGGGGCCATTTTGAAAATATATAGCCTTAAAAATATGAGGATATACCCAGTACCAAACCCAATAATTACAGTTAGAAATCCATTACCTTAAAGCGTGTTTTTTTTTCTGAGTCAAGGTCATGATGCACTAAACTACAGTAGAATAACTTGTAAATTAAAAATGCAAGCTCTGGACTGAAAAAAACTACCTCACCAGGCTTCTGTTGGGATTAAGAAAACACACACAGTCACACCTTAAATGAGTTCCTGGCATATGCTAAATACTCAATTAATTTTAAAGAGAGTTAGTGGATTGTGTTTATGTGCATTGCGAAAACATAAAATTGATGAAGTAGTATTCCAATGTTTGGGGCTTATTTTAATAAAATGACTCCTAAACATGGCAAGATGTATTTGCGCATGTGTGAGTGGACTGTGAAGGAGGCTCGGGGCACAGTGGGCCGTGCATGGGGCCGCTAACCTCAAAGTCACCAGTTGGAAACCACCAGCAGCTCCATGGCGAAAGATGAGGCTTTCTATTCTGATAAAAAGTTACCGTCTCATTAACCCACAAGGCCAGTCTACTCCACCTGTAGGGTTGCTGGGGGTTGGTGCAGGGAGCTGGGTTTTGTTTGTCTGTTTGCTGTCAGTTGTAAAATAAATAAATAGATTGGTTAGCATTTTAACATTGTTTATTATAAAAAGCTTAGGAAAGTTGGGTGATTTTCTCAGTAGTGTTCAAACAGATGACAACTACATCTCAGTTCTGATGAATCTTTTTTTTTTGGGGGGGGGGGGGAATCCATTATCTTTTAATTCTATTTTTTCCACCAGGTTTTTGAAACCTCCTTGTACAGATGAATCTGGAAAACATTACGCAAACTGAAAGAAGTCAGAGAAGGTCTTCAATTGTATGATACCTTTGATATGTCTATAATGAGCAAATGTATAAGTACAGAAAATGTATTTGTGGTGCTGTAACAGTGAGCCATTTGGCTCCTAACGGAAAGATTGGCTGCTCTGGAAAGGAGAGGGCGTGGAGCCTTGCTCCCAGAAAGATGGTTCGAATGTATAGGGATGGAGCTGACAGGCTGGCGGTTTGAAAACCCAAAGCAAGTTCACCATCGAGTTGATTCTGACTCTTGGGGACCCTATACGGTAAAGTAGCCCTGCCCGAGGGAATTTCTGAGACCGTAGCTCTTTACCAACGTAGAAAGCCTTGTCTTTTGAGTCTTGGCTGGTGGTTTTAAGCTGCTGACTGGTCTCTCCTGATCTGATGAATCTTTCTAGTGTTTTATTCCTTGCATTATCACTTTTTTTTTTCACATAAAGCAATTACGTTTGTGTTTTTCCTTCACTGACAGTTGACAATGTTAGGGATATTACACATTGCATCGCATGGAAGTTTTCAGGAGAAGAATCAGCTTATCACCATACAGCATCTTCATAGTACAATTGGTTATGACAGCAAGATGAAAAAACAAAATTTGGGCCGCAGGAGAAAGGCAAAATCTGCACAAAATTAACAACAACTTAGTTTCATCTTCTGATTTTTGTATTTATTAAAGCAGGTTTTATTTTATTTTAAAGATCTTGATATGCAG